CATAGAGAAAAAATGTGCGAGTGTGCGAGAGGAAAAAAAATGAAATCGTCGTTTTTCTGTGCCGTCGCTCTCTAATGTGATGTGGTACAATGCTAATGTTTACCGCTACAATTTTTTAACTAATAAATTAGCATTTTTGACTGGCAAGATGATTTCAAGCATACACCATCATCGATGCTGCTATCGTCATCACTTTATCAACGGCATCCACCACTCATTGAACATTCAATCCAAATAAAATGCAAATCAATCATTGTCGACGGAATATCTATACTTACACACAACGAAATCAATTATTATACGTATTATTTGGATGATGATAGTAATTCTCGGTTTTTTTTTCTCTGTGGCCGCGATGAAACAAATGTCAATAGCAGATCCAACGGTTAAAGCGCATAAATTATTCGAGAATCAAAAAAGGAAAATCAAATGAATGCAATAAAACGTGCCTGTTGGCATTCAATTCCAAAGTCCATTTCAACAATAGTCAAATAGTAATAGCTTGTTATAATGAACATGAATTCAGGTTCTCTTTTCTCTGTTTGCAGCATGAAATGAAACAAGCAACAGACCGAGAGAAAAAAAATGGTGTGCTCGAGATTTCCGCAAAAAGCAATGGAAAAGGAAATAAAATTGATAGGCGTTTTAACATAATCTGTTCGCCGTATTTCACATTAATCGCGCACAAAAATCGCAATGATGAGTTCTCGCATGTAATTAATTGTCATTTTATTAATGGTATTGATTGAGTCAATAAAAAAAGAGACCGGCACAAATAACCAGCGGCACGATTCTCAAACAATTCTGGTTTTTATCGATATTATACAATATTTTTTTTCTCACAGAAAAAACAAAAACAACATATAATACAAAAGAAAACCAAGCATACGGAATAAATTGAAATGCATACAGCGGCAGCAGTAGTCGATGAGCTATTGAACGGAGAAAAAGAGTGTTAAAAAAAGAGTAGCATGTAAAGTTTTTCGCAATAAAAACGAATGATGAATTAAAATGCGCGCGATAATTAAAATCTCTTTTTGCGTAATCGCCAAACCAGTTCGTGCCACCCCAGTGGAGCGATGGGATTGAAAATCTGCACGCATTCAAACGATATTGACAAAAATGAATGCAATCTGAATTGCAAAATCCAATAAAATGCTTGAAATGACAAGCAGAAAGTCTCTGTGTGCACAATGACGACAACCGGGACAGTCAACGGAACGGGGGTGGTGATACAAATAACAAACGACACGAGAATTGTTTGTCCACTCAATAAAAGCAAAAGATGTGCACAGTTTGTACACAAAAAAATGGAACACAATTCAATACCACCTCGAACGATCAATCGGAATGCATTCAGCATGTAAACAACATATTTTTTTTTTTCATTCTTTCGGTGCACAGAAAAAAGCCTTTCGGGAATCTCGGAACATGTAAAAAAAAAATCAGTGTAACGAAAACGATGGACAACAACTACGGTGAGGGCAACAGAAACGGCAACAATTATAACGCCAATACACGGCGAATAAAAAAAGGCGAATAGAGACAAGTAACTGGCAATTGTAACAAGCAGCAACAAATCATTTTTAATTTAAAACAAACCGTGACCCGTTAAGTCTCTATTTAATTTCCGAATTTATCGCACATACTTTCGCTCTCTCTCTGTGTGTTTTTTCAGGTGTTTTCATCTCATCGGTTGCCTACAGTTACAATATGTGTACAAATACAAAAATCAGATTGTGAAAATTGGTTTGGATCACCGTTGACTGCTTCGTTCGTTCATTCATCCATTCATTCGTCTTTTTTTCCGGTCCACACTCACACTTTTCTATCTTTTTCACTCTCTTTGTAGTCAATGGCAGCCTTTTTCATGAGTGAACTATTGCAAATGGTGCAAGTTGGCATTTGCGGTGGTATATCGTCAAATTGTGCAATGCAAACAAAATTATGTGATGCATATTTATCGCCGGCATGCTTGTGCTGTTGTTGTTGTTCCGGCACTCAACACACTGGGATGCTTGCAACAAAAACTCAAACCAAACGCCGAACATCATGCAACTCGTGCTGAAAAATCGCGGTAGAATATCAACAAGCGCTTAAAAAGAACCAAAAAAGATGAAGTAACCCGAAAAAGAGAATGGCAGATAAAAAAAAGAATCGAGAATCGCATCCCCGTTGCGAGCATATGCTTTTGTACTGTGCGAAAAATGTTCGGTTTTTGGGCATCGCGTTTTTTTTTTCTTCTTCTCTTCAGCGCTCTTTCATTCATTTTGTGAATGCATAGAAACACACGCTTTCAACCACCAACTCGGCAGCATTGCACATTTCAACTTTGGTGCTTTGATTCTGTTTTTGCTGGCACTGCCGTTGCTGCTGCATCCCAACTCTTTCGAATGCTCGTGGTTTTCTTTTTATTTTTACACATTTGTCGTGTTCGTACACGTATTTCTCTCTTTTTCCATTATTGGTTCCAATAAAATCGTGAAACGCGAATGTCGGTTTTTTGCATAGATGCTCGCTCGTCTGTGTGTGTATGTTTATGCACTTCTGCACCTCGCTCTTTTTATTTGATATCATTTTTCCGCGTTCCGGATAAATGCAGTCATCGAACACCAAAGTGATTCTCATAAAATAACAACATTCAATTTGCAAACGCGTTTACGAGCACAAGATGGAAAAAAAGGCATCCAGTTGAAGCGGTTATTTAAATGCGGATCAGATTTTTTTCTCTGCTCTGTTGTTGCAGCAATGCTCGTTCGTTTGGTCGGTGTGATGCCGTTGTTTTTCTTTTGCTTACTCCCTCGCTCGTTGCACTCGGATTCTGTTATGTTGGTGCCAGTATTTGTTTGAATATTGTAAATCGTGTCGTTTTGCCATCGTTGGTGTGGTTGCTGTTGATTTAAGTCGACACGATTGTGGCGGTTTTCGTTATGTCGGGCACAAAGCTCGCGAGCTCTCTGTTATAGTTACAGCCACCAATATACAACTTGTTTTCGTTGATGCAGTCGATGCATGGTGGACGCTTTTTTTCTCAGTGGTTGTTATTGCATCTTTGTGTGCATCATTTAATACAAAGGTCCAACCGAAGCAAATAGAATCGAATAAACGGTTGTTGTTGTTGTTGGTGCCTTTTTTTTGTGGAATGTTGCGAAAGCGTCGAATAAAATGCAAATAAAAATGTGTAAAAGAGAGAGAGATTCCGTACAATCACTCTGAGAGTGAAAAAAAGGATTGTGTGAGTAGTAGCAGCAAGCAACTCTGAAATCTATATGCATACACGTAATTCGATTGCGTGCCATGCTGCTGTCGGGTATGATGAGGATGATGATGTGCCGTTATTGCCGTTGCATTTGATTTGATTGATGGTGTGTACTTTTTTATCTTTCACCGCTTACGTATGATTCGCATCCTTTTTTGTTTCTTTTTTCCGTTCGTCTTCATTTTATTGTATTTTTTTCGCTCTTATTTCGCCGACCACATCGTGTTTTTTTGTTGTGTATGTGTGTGCACAATGCACTTCGCCTTTTTCGGCTGTTTGCAGTTAACGGATTTGTTTGTTCGGTGGAACTTTAAACACAATATCAAACACGGTGTGGCGTTTTCATGTGCTCTTTTTTCATGAGAATGTGTATTCGAGCATTTTTGGTGGCAACACGTTTATTATTAGCGTTTGTTTGTTTTTTTTTTTCGTTGTTAAGATTTTTTTTCTCTGTTTATTCTGGTGTGAGAGCGGTGGATTGAATATTTTTTTTCATGCTGCACTCTTTCGGATCAATTAGTAAGCCGTGAATAATAGCCCATAAGATAATATGCTTCCTGATACGCGGTCACTCAATTACTCTTTTCACATGCGAATGTGCATTGCATAATCTTTGTTTCGTATGCATAACGGTGTTTTGTGCATTTTCCGAATCATCTCCCACAGCGTTGCTCTTTGCACTTTACGGCAAATGGGCAACAGAAGGTCGTTTTTGTGATATCGAACAGGTGGAAATTGTTACCCATTCAAATTGATCCTTGGCCTAAATGAACATTTGACACATTCTCCATTTTTTTCGTGTGAATTATCTACAATAAATGGTTATTTCTTCTCGTGTAATTTACACGATAGGGTGCAGTGACTTTTAGGAATTTTCTTGTGTGGGCGTGTGCCATTCGATCTATGAGGAAATTACTATTTTTCTGTCTGCAAAATTTTATTCCAAAAATAATAATCATCAAAAAGTTTAATGAATTTTATAATTGCTGTGGTTCAATGGCATCGCATGCGAGACTAAGATCGTTTCCTTAAAACATATAATTTGACGAGAATGTTGTCATTTTTAAAGATAATTAACGTGAAAATGGGAACAGATCGTTGATGGAACATTATTCAGACCGTTTTGTTATGCTTCGTTACTGCACCACCACGTTAAAATTCTACACGCTTTCTTTTTACTCTACCTTGGGCACTGCCGATGGCGCACTGCGTTACAATTTCCAACATCGAAGCAACACATTTTCAACGTCTTAAGATAGCAAAGATGTTGTTGTGATAATAAACATCTACATATACCTACATGTATTCTAGGCGTCATGCGTGTGCAACTCCCCGCTTTTTTTGGAATCCACGAAATGATATCATCTCATGGAAATGTATGTTGGAGGCTTTATATCCTGTTTGCGATTGATAATGAGAATCGTTCATTTACGACGTTACAAACATATGTGAACACATTATATACCAACGTATTAAAACATCAAACTGGAACTTTTTTATTCGCGCAATTTAAAAAAAATATACGTATTCGCAATTTGATTTGTCGTTGAGATGAGATGACAGAAAAAGATGACGAAGAAAGACAGCCGTAGTAGAGGGGAACATACTCCACCTTCGTGTCATTTTCAATGGATTTTGTTAGGCTCTTGGGAATTTTTGACTGATGAAAACAACTTACTTTTTTATGGAAATATTCATTTTAATTAGCAATAGTAAACTTAACAAATATTTTCTTCTTTTGAATTGAACAATATTTTGAGCACAAGCAAATTTGAGAAACTTTTGCGATTTAGTTAAATAAAGACTATGTCGAAATTAGCATTTTCTTTTAATCTATTTAACTTTTCACCAGTTATTTGTATCGGGAGTGCAACCTGTCTTATTTAGACTGTCGTTTAAATTATACAGAAGCGTTTCAAATGGATGATTATCAACGATTAATTTTACCTAAAATTTGAAAAAGAACAAAAAATATTTTAAATTACTAAAAGTGGCAAATCTTTGGGCCTTGCAAATCATGTATGAATATAAAATTCATGATTTAAAATTTTTTTTCCACAAATTAAAGTTACCTTGGAATTGAATGAATCGCTTAAAACCGGAGTTCTTGACCAAATTTGTGCATAATGTGAACAGTCCTCCTATAGAATTTTATAATTTATTATTATTTTTTATTATAATTTTATCTTATCATTAATTTTTTTATTTTATTGGGGAGATCATTTATAAACGTCTGATCTTTTTTTATTGATTAAAAATTTAAATTACCACATTTTTCTTATTTTTTAGTGAATGATAGATGAAACCATCACTTCTGTAAACAAGAGCATATGACTCGTAATCGGTGCCAATAACGGTAAAGTTTGACTGGACCATATGACCGACTTTCAATGACAAAATCCCCGAAACACCTAAAATTGTTAAATCAATGTCATTGCCGCGTAGAAATAAAAGAAAAATATTTATTTTACTCACGAGGTATTGGCGAAACGCTCATGTGTGCCGGTACATCAATATCGGGAATGGTAAGTGTTTCACTGTATGATGTTCTATACTTTTCACCATCAGCTTCAATTTTGGTTTCGGTGTTCATGTTGAAATTCAAATGCTCAGCTTTGTGGGTTATTTTGAAAATTTCGCAGGCTGGAATGTTATTTTCCGACTGAACACCATACCAAACTCCAGAGAACTAACAAATGTATTTATTTTTTGTGCAAATGTTAAGAATGAAATTTTGAAAATAAATTCAGTGTGTATTTTGGGAAACTTACCTTATTCATATGAAACAAAGACATTGGTTGCAATTGTGGACATTTATGGGAATTTAAAAATGCACTTGCAAAACCGAATATAAAACTAGCCAATACAGTGAATTTGAACATTTTTTCATTGACTTTAAGTCGGAATTTGAAAGAAATAACTGGAAAAACCAAGTCGACAATTAATAAAGATTTAAACTGAAACTCATGAAATATTTCTAGCAATTTTTTTAATAAGAATTCATAGTGAGCTTGCGACGAGGCTTAGGCAGGAAATGCTGATTTATTTATTTAAATCATACTGACTTTATTTGAACGATGTTTAACTTGTCACAGAATTTACGTTCACTCACTATAAAATCTCGTAAAAATAACGAACTAAGTCCAAGTATTTACATTCGAGAAATCGTTTTTACACAAGTGCGGAGAAACAAAGTTTCAAACTTAAGATATTAATGACACTCACAACTCCTAATAACGAAAAACCAAATGTATAAGTCGAAAAAATAAATCTGCGATGCAATTTGTATGAGGTACACAATGAAACTATTGTGTTTGAACGTACAAACTGCTTCGTGTGTCTAAATTATTAATATGAAGAAATTGTTTATTGTTTTTGTTCCCGTTTTGTCGTAGACATGGTCAATGTCATACTCACCGTGAGTTGTAAACGAATTTTGCACATATTGCATATGGTGCAAGACTAATTCATCATTTTAAATAACAACAAATATTGGCATTTCTTTTGTTACATCACGTATTAGTGTTTTATAAACAAAGCATTGTTTAACAAATAGAAAATATTGAACATTAGATAAATATAAAAAAAGATGACTTCAAAGAGAAAAGCAGACGTGTATTATTTCAAATGTTTCGCAGACATCGTACTGTCATTTTAATTATATAGTTCAGCAATTCGGAAGAATCATAATTAAATTCTTCTATGTTTGGTTTTCCATTTCAATAGCTTCCGGTGTTGAACATTATTTATCGGTGAATCTCATGCAATTTATGTAATATTTACATCGGATTTTTTTTTTGCTTGAATAAATGCAAAAGAGTACAAAGTAAAATGGTTGTTTTCATTCGACTTACTTTTCATTACCATTCGTAACGCAATCGTATTTCCCCAAAAAAAATTCTATGTAATAAATCTGCTTGAGAAATTTGAGTTGATTTAAAAGTCCCTGGAAAAATGCTGTGTAAACAAAAATGAAATTATACACACACAGTTAACGAAGCTAGATTTGGAAAAGAAGATTTGTTTGTCATGATGAGCAGTGTTCGGTGTTCACGAGAGGGAATCTAGACGGAGACAGAAAGATCGAAGAGTGTGAGCTGGTAATTCTAGTAAGTAGTGGTTTCGATCGATGTCGAGAAGCGAAAAGTTTTATTCGGTTTGGTAGCTGTGCAAACGACGAATAACGAACGAGTGGTTAAAATTCATTATAATACCATTAAATGAATGAAAACAAAATGAATCAGAAGACATACAGATGGTTTGTATTTCACGTACTTTTCGTATTTTTTCGTTCGCTTTTCTGCGAAAAAGAAATGAGCGTTATGCGTTAGAAAAGTTGTTGTTTTTTTTCCTCCTTTTTTGTTCTTGTGAATCTTTCTTATCTAAGCTGTAAGCCACCGCATTCAAATGAGCTTGTTTCGTCAAGCAGCAATGAGAGATATAGAGGATGCGGTTTGTTTCGCAGCATATATAATATATAAAATGTAACATGTTTTTCTCGTAAAATGAGAATGGCGCACACAACGAAGCACACATGCAAATTATATTCTTTTGCAATCGAAAAGACTTTTGTAACGAGCCGCGCTTGTTTTTTTTCTTCATCATAAAAACCACTATAGCATTTAAAATTCAGCCGTTTCGTTGCTATGGGTACACCAAAATGAGAATTGGTGAAAAATGTTTGAATACATTTGGTGGTGGTGGATGTGTGTGTGATACGTTCACATACAGTTTTTTCCGTTGAATATTTTCTGTGACTAATTTCTAATTAGGGCTTCTGTGCACATTCGAATTGTGAAAAATCGTCACGTTTGCGATAGTTGTTGTAGAAACCGTATTCAAAATTGAATAGAACGAGCGAGGGGAGCAAACGACAGAATCAGCATCAGACGTCGCATTCAGTACGTGGCTAAAATCGTGACGCAGAACAAGAAAAAAAGTTCAAGCAGCATTATTTCGTAATGAGTTAGCATGTTTGTTGTTGGTGTGCACCTTTTTGAAATCTGTTCGCTCTTTTTTTTATTCGTATTATTTTCGCTTCTTTTCAAGCGCTCGGTGTTTTCCGTCTAATATCTCTTTATCAAGCGTCTCGAAGCACAAGCATAACTCACAGATACATAATTTATGTGTATTTGTGCGTACTAGTTACCGTAAATATATCTCTTTCTCTCCTTGTCTCTCTTTCGCTCTCCTTTCATCTATCGCTTTGTGTGTTGGTGTGTACTTGAAATGAATTTGCTGGAAATGAAAAAAAAGCGTATATATGCGAATTTACATGCAAAAATCAGCCAAAGCCTGAGAATTACAAGACCACGGCATTGAAAGTCGCGAGGTATAACGTATACGTACGTCTAAAGTGGCAACTAAACAATATTATACAACTCTCGCAAAATATTTCTACCCTATTAGAATTTGTGCTTGATATTTGCTTTTTTTTCCTACTTATTTTTTCGGGTGCTCAACATCATTGTGGAGCGTAGATTTTTCTGCGTTTGTCTACAATGTGAAAAGTGCTTGAAACCGGCAATACAACAACAACGAAAAAAACTCATTCCATAAATTTATAGTTAGGCAATGTGGCACTTAAAATGTGGATTTTTTTTTCGGTGGGTGTTTCGGTGTGTATAAGCATGGTGGTGAACTGGTATTCTCTTTCTCTCTGGCAAAACTGATGATATGAAATGATGATATACGTAGTGCTTTTGATTCCAGGGGATATATGTAGAATGGATGGTTTGGTGTGTTTCGGTGATGTCGCGAATGCTCTCAACCATCATACATCTCATGAGCTCTCTCATACACACTAAAAATCCAACGGCAACGCGCGCGTCATAATGTGTACTACATCCGGCGCGCACTTTCATGCTAATATGAGAATAGGCAGCCAAACATTATTTGTATTGTACATAAAAATCTAGAAAGAGTGGAATAGCTTGTCTAAATACATATTATTACTCCGGATACTTTTGTTATATGTGGCGTTTTTTTAATGCGCTCGTAGTAGAGACTCATTTGAGTTTGCTGGTTGAAATTGTGGATGCGTGCAAGAGCGAGAGCGACAGCGATCGTATGTTGTGAACAAGAGCGAAGCACAAGTGAAAGAGCCGTAGAAGAGCGCGAGTGTGACGAGCGAGATTGGTTTTTAACTATAGAAACGTGGATGGTTTTTAAGCATTTTATTCTGCCGTAAAGTTTTTTTTAATACTTTTTTTTTGTTATTTTAAATATTTTATGTGTGTTAATATACAACATATAGCTCGTTGCTCGGGTGGTAGTAGGTAGATGGATCCGATGTACGAAATAAATTTTATTTTATGAGATAGTATGTGTACTGATTCGTTCGGGTGGCATAAAAATGCCACGCCCGATATTTTTTCGTTTATTTTTCTACGGTTTTTTTTTCATCCCGCGTGTGTGTATATCACTTCAACGCTACTCTTTTTAGAAATGAGAAAAAAAAATCATCAAAATTATAATATGTACTTTGCGATTATAAAAATATATACCTATCTCTGCTGTGCCTGCGTTAACGTTACACCATCGACTGGGAAAAAAATGTGCTGCGCTCGAGAGACATGAATGAGGAAAAAAAGAATCTGCAACAACCATTATTTTTTTGGAGATAAATCGCAACTATACACATGTTATGTATCAGATTTAAAAAAAATGCTAGAACAAACGAGAGAGAGTGAGAGAGAGAGAAAGAACGGTTAATGTACAGCATTTTAACGGAGCGCAATGGGACCATCATCATAATCATCGTCGTCATGAACAGCAATAGCAATGGGCAACAACAAAAAATTCGGCAATAATAACAACAGATCGGCGCAAAAAAAAGTTCGGCTAAAACAAAAATAACGAAGCTATATAATCCGTCCGGAAGTCTATGGAAGGAGCAAATAATAAAATGAATGATAACGCTGGTTTTTCGCAATGTTTCGATCAGAAAAGCGAAAAATGACGGGAGCAATGCAAAAAAAGCGACACACCGACACATACGCACACCATTCAATTGAATTGGAGGTTTAAATGTACAGTCTGTGTGCAGCAAAACCGTCATAAACACCAAACTCAACATAATCTATTTGTTTCTATCAGTTTCTATCGATGCTGCCACACATAGTGACGAATAAAAACTACATGCATTCTGAATAAAATATATATAGAAAAATAATAGGTTTTGCAACATCGACAAAAAAAAATAATATATATTCGCGGAAAAGATGCAAAACCCATGCGAAAAAAGTGCAAATAATGAGAATTTATTTTTTTTGTTTCGAATCGAAAAAAAAATAATCAGGAAAATCCTTGTTTTCCCTATCTCTCTCCACTTCGCACTCTTCCTCTTGTCGTATCATGAACAATACATTATTGGGTCTGGTTTTGTAATTTCCATTGCTTTTATTGATGAATATTTGGTGTGATTCTTTTTCTTTCTTTTTTTTTCCTGAATTGGTTGAAGCTGCATTTTATGTCTCCACTTTGGTTGCATAAAAATCAAATAATAATATATGTATAATTTTTGCAGTCGCATTTTTCGCATGTGGTTTCTCTGTGATGGGGGTGCAGTTAAAATTTACATTCCATCATGTGTTCAACTCAGGGCAAAAAAAAACGGGCCTCCACTTCATTCCGTCATTAAATGTGATATTTAAAAATTTAAATGAAAAAATAGTGAAAGAGAGAGATGAGAGGATGGGTAGGATGAAATGTCGGGAAAAAATGTCGACTCTAATGGATTCAAACACACGCAGCGTTTTCGATAATGACATTTGTGCATCGTGCATATGGTCATTTGTGTCGCTATTTAGGACTCATGTGCTTCGTATGCACAAACATTTCTCGTTAATTATTGATTTTTTATTGTTCTCACCCTCTCTCTCCTCTCTTTCCCTTTTATGATCCATTTTTTTCGTGCGTCATTTCTTTTTTTTCCACTCATTTGGTAGATTTACCTTCATTTTTATACATTTTATTGTATTTATTTTTCCGCATTTTTCCGCTGATAATTGTCTTCTATTTGCAATGCTTTTTTTTTTGTTTTCATATTATTTTTGTCGATAAATTGGTATTCGTTTTCATTTCATTCGTAATATTTCATAATCGAAAATAAGCAGCACCGAAATCATCACCTATCGAATTTTCTCTTTGTGTTTTTGTCAAAGTGTGTTGTATGGCGTATGCCATGCCACCAATAAACGTTATTTTTTGGACTCTATTTCATTTGTTACTCGCGAAATTGAG